GCACTCTCCAGCCAGTGTTGTTGTTGGCTTCCCCGCCTCTCCACGCGGCAAGGAGATCCCATGTTTTCTAGATGTGCTGGTTTCTGGGCTTTCTCATCCTCCTCATTGTAGTGCACAAGATTTTGCACAAGATTTCAAGCAGCACAAATATCTGTCTTGCAGTTAGACACCTTCCTCACTTACCTTTGTCTGTGATTGATTATTATTTAGACTAATCCCAAATCTATTTTCAAACAGAAGTAGAGTTTGCTTATCTAATCCACCCTGATCCTTTCTTGATTTTTCCAAAGTTTGTCTCTAGTTCTAGGACTTTTAGCAAGTTCACCACATATCAAACTCCCGATGTCTTTCCTTCAGACTGTATCTGAGAGAGAGAGAGAAAGAGAGAGAGAGAGAGAGAGAGAGAGAGAGAGAGAGAGAGAGAGAGTTCTTCAGTTGGTTATCACTCAATATTTTTGTTATCTGGCTATACAATGTCCCCTTATCTTTTCTCAAGTAAGTCTGTTCCTGCTTCATGTGGTTTGACAGAGGCCCAAAGAAGAAAAGGACAATGATTAGAGCTAATTTTTAAATTAAAACAATGCATTTTCACATCAGCATTACAAATCCTTGCCTTTTTCCAGTTGGAAAAGAGTTTCACCACCTGTGTACTGTCCTTAGTCTTAACTCTTTGGCCCTTGAAGGTAGAGTCTAATTTTTCTTAATTTGTACCTAAATACCTAATTTGTGGTATTTAAGTTCCCTGTCATATAGTGCTGTAACTTCCCTACAGCTTTACAGACTTTCTTTCCAGACACATTTCTATTGTTCAAGTAATCATGCCCCTTTCCTTCAACATAACACTATTAAACTCTTGGAAATACAGCATAAGGTTTTTAAACAAAACAAAAACTTATTTTCCACTATCTGATTTATATCAGTCTTGCCTTGATTTCTTGTAGTTTTTGGATTGGTGGGTCAATGTTTATTTTTCTTATTTAGCATCTACAACGCTGCAATTTTAATGGATTTCTATCTGTTTCCTTCAGGAAACTCTCAGTGAGAAGTATACTAAGGTAGCATATTGGGGTGATGAACTCATAATTGTGTTCACCTCATATGCTAACTTGTACACGAATATGTGACCTCAGTAAACCTCTATCATATGTTAGATTTTTATATCCAGCCTTCACAGAGTCTCTTCTGCTGCTGAAGAGTCTGCAAAGAAAATAAATTACAAGGAAACAATCATTCTTTCCATGATTCATCTCAATTAAAGTGGCAGCAGTGGTAAGGACAGTAAAATGCTCATTCTTATTAGATGTTACATGGTGTTCTCATGCTGCACTTTCAGCTAATCTCACTTAAGGAGCTGAGCCATGGCAACTAATCACGTCTCAGCTCCCCTGCCGATAGAGCAGATATTTTTAATGAACACTGTAGGAGATTGCCTTGGATTAGCTTGGACAAAACATTTGCTCCCCTACCTCCGCTTTCCATTAAATAGGAAATAGATGCAGAGTACTTGGACTCTGTATGCTCAAAAATATATTTGCTTTATACATTACAAGCTGAGTTAGTAGAAAATTATCACATAACCCCTATGTTGTGATTGCCTTTCAGTGAATCTGTAGCTAACAGTGTGCCTATGTATTATGACTTTAAAGTCAACCCCCAAATTGTCAATTGCACTATAACCAAATTACGTGATGCCAGTTTGGCTATTTAACGGAGATCTCATCTCACTTATTATACATATTTGCTTAGTCTCATCTTTAGGCAGGAATGGTCTTTGGGTTTTTGGTTTTATTTGTTTTGTTTTGTTTTACTATGCATATAAAAAAGCATTTGATTTGGCAAAGCAAAAGACCCCTTCAAGGTTCTCCTACAACAAGGTAGCTCCCACGCAGATGTCAAAATCCTACAATATTCCTTGAAATAAGTAGCAACGGAGTTAATCTTGTTCAACCCTGCGATTATTAATATTAAGAGACCAAATATATGGAGGATTGCTGAAAGTATTTGTTATAATTGTCTTATTCAAGTCCCTTCCCCCAATTTCGCCCTGACAACAAGCCCGAGTCTTGGATTATTCCCACTTTTTTCCCATTCATGTGCTGCTAAAAGAATGTAGAGAAAATTACAAATCATGCTGACTGGGTCTACTACAAATTTGTAGTAAGGCAAACTTTTTATACTTCCCTAATTGACTCACTATCCTGCTTATCACAGTGGCTATTCCAAAAATTTTTAATCTCTTCTCAAACTTTACCATCATCACCCCAGCTTCTCAGTTAAGAAACTTGCCTACTATTTTACTTAGAAAAAAAAGTTTGACTCCATTAGGCAGGAATGATATTGAAGAATAGCTCTCCTTTGCACCACAGAAATATCAGTTCATTAGATATCTTCTCATCCACTTTTCCTTCTTAAGACACATGATATTTATTACATGTTTCAGTAGCCAAATGTGATCCCATTCAACTGCCCTGGAATAGGTAAGACAGTTTAGCACAAACATCTGTCAAGTTAGAGGTGCCAGTGCTGTAAATACTCTGAGTTCTAATCAAGAGAAATGACTCTGAATGGAAAAGGATAAAATTCCAAGCACTGTTTTTGAGGAGGCTAAATAGTTGAAACCATTATATTCAACTCTTTGGTGAAAGTCATGTCAGCTTTTGATCTGTGAAGAGATAAAAGAATGGCATTGAAACTGAAACTGTCCTTGAGAAAGTCCATGGAGACATAGCCTGAAATGGTGGTAGGAACTTAAGAAAGCTATGAAAGAAAATGAAACTTATACTGTCAGGAGATTTTAAGTTTGATTCGTGACTTGATATGAATTGTTTCAAAGAACTGATCTTTTTGATCTGGACTTGTGTTTTCATTGGTACAGATTTTCCCAATGTGCCAACACAGATTGGCAATTCTCCTTCTAGCCTTAGAAAGTTACCTAGAACACTAAGGTGTCAAATGACTTCCCCAGGGTCACACAGAAAATATGCATCAGAAGCAGGACTGGAACCTAGGTCATCCAGATTCTGATGTCCTCTATCTACTATACCACCATGCTGCTTCTCTTGAGGTTTAAAAAAAAATACTAATTATAACACAATAAATTCTAATAGCATGTAGAGTTTGCCCAGAGAGGCTACCATTGTTACAAAGCATGTATATCATGGTCCAATAAGTATTATGCTGAAGGGGGAAGAGATAGAATTGATTTTTGTTCACTTGGTTTTCCCATGAGGTGGCTTATATCATCATCTCCATGTTAGGGGAAAAGGGAAAGAAAATGAGAGGCCGAAGAACAGATTTTTGGCTTACTAAGGACAGATAGCAAATCTGGAAGAGTGAGGACATGTAAACCTGAGGATCATTCTTTCTCTGGGTCTAGCAACACAAAATCAGCCTACATTCTGCACTGTGGTTTCCTCCCAGACCAAATGCTATAAATCATGACTAATAATAACTAATCCTCTTGGAGGGAGGAGGTAATATTTTGTTCCCATTATAGCCCTCACTGGGGCTCAATTGAGCACTTGTTTTGTGCTATGATGAATGTTATGATTAATATTAGATAGAAGACAGTGCATTTAGGTTCATTGCCCATGCCCCAATGTGCCTAAGTATATTAGAGCACCATTCCAATTAATACCACATATATAATACCAAGCAGTACTTACTCTTCAGCCAAAGGACCATAATAATAACTAGCATTTATGTAGTACTTTAAGGTTTGCAGAGCACTTTATAAACTTTATCTAATACTGTCCTTACAACCCTGGAATATAGGTTCCATTATTATCCTCATTTTACAGATGAGGAAACTGAGGCAGATAACAGTTAAGTAACTTGGTTCTACATCTAGCACTCTATCCACTGTACCACCTTGTTGGCTCATAATGTGGAAATCCTACCATTTGACTAAATAAAGTTCTACTGCTATCATCATTAGTGCCCGACTTCCTATTTCATCTAAGAACATATGGAAGCTTTTCAGTCTATGTCTGAGTGGCTACCAATAAGTCCTGCCCCTGGTTGTGTGACCCTGGGCAAACCCTTCAGTGCTCTAGGCAACTTTCTAAGACTAGAAATTGAAGAAGAGGTGCTGACTTGTTCTGGTGGAGGCCATTTCCTAGTCTGGGAGTTTCCTATATGATATCAAAGATCTGGTTCCTGTTCTAAAAGAAGGGGTGCAACCCTTCACATGCTGAAATTTAACCAATGCTAGACCCCATAAACTCACTTATCATCCAAGGAAGCATACTGACCCTGCGTCATGTAACCACAACGCCACTCAGGAGCCATCTGGATGTGGTAGTGTTGGTCCATATGTCTATCTTTACCCCACAGCACACCTTTCAAGGCTTCCTGAATCCAGGGCGTCCACATTTAGGATGACTGTAGGGGGCCTAGAGTGGCAGCCCAATTTCTCCAGAAGTTTGGAACCCCTGACTTCTTCTCAATGGCATAGTCCTTTTCAGATTCCTTTACATCAAAGCTGTCTATATTCTCTTAGACTTTCACATAGATTCACTGATTCAGCAGTTTTAGAAAAATATTGAAACTACCTGTGGCCTCCTGCCATCTTCATCCAATCTTTTCTGCAAAGGGATCTGGCTTAACATGCCTGTGTACCCCAGAGTTCGTATTTCCCCATGGTTTTAGGAGGCTTGGGTGACCCAAAGCTCTGTAACTCAGTTTGACTTTCTCATTGGCAGTTAACAACCCTCTCTTATAATTTCCTTTTTTCAAAATGGTTCCTCATTAGGCAAACCCCTACTAAACATCCCCTACCCAGGCTGAGCTGTATAACAACTAACATGTCAAACAACAGGTGACTAGTACCATATCACAGGAAGAAGCATTATACAAATTTTTCTTCTAGCTTAAGTTAAATCCAATCTTTCCAGGAGCCATCACTTTTGAATTGGATTGAATGATTCTGTCTCTCCCTTCCTAGTCTAAAGATTGCTAAGAAAAAGTAAATGATGGGGATTTGATTCATGTTCCTACAGGCAGTGGAAAACCGGAATCTCATAAATTCCCTTAAGACTCTGCTGGATGATTTCCACTCGGAGATGAGGGAAGATGAACGGGATCGCCTTGGATTGCAACAACAGTATGCCAAGGACAAGGCTGCCTGGGAGGTGGAGTGGGCAGAGCTGAAAAGCCGCCTGGAACAGGTATATACAGTTCTATGTGCATAGCTACCCTGACTTCCAAAGCAGGTCACAATTCCCCAGCTTTCCTTGTCTGTATAGACATTCCTCACCCACGCTGATATCTCCTCAGTTTTACATTTTTGAAGGATTTTTTTCCAAGTTCCCTGCCAACTCTAAATCCTCTGTGTTTAATTCAGGTACTGTTTTAACCCTCTTCTCTTGTCCTCTCTTTTCTTCTCCTCTCTTCTTCTCTCCTCCCCCCTCCTCTCTTCTTCTTTCCTCCTCCCTCCTTTCCTTTCCTCTGCTCCCCCTCCTTATCATCTCTCCTATTCTTTCCTCTTCTCCTCTCCTCTTCTCTCCTCTCCCTCCTCTCCTCTCCTGTTCTTTCCTCTCTCTCTTCCTAACTTCTCACCTTCCTTTCAGGACCTGTGATTTCACCTATGACAAATTACCTCCTGCCAAAGAAATTCAGCAACTCTTCTGCAATTTATTGTCTTTGCTCCCTGCATCACTGAGATATCAAGTGATTTGCCCAGGGTCACACAATCAGCTGGTGTAAGAACCGTGGCTAATGTTCAGTTGCTATTAGGAAAAAGGCAATTACACAGGAACTGATGATCAGAGACTCTTCATCTCTTCTGAGAAGAGAATGATATACCAACCAAAGGCATTATAGCTGTAATATACAGCTCCGAGGGAGATTTTGTGTTTTTCTTCCCAGGAGACTTTTAAGAATATCATAGCTTATGTATAGAAGATTCAGTTAAGTAACTACTTGATATTCTCTCTCCCCCTTTCCAGGAACTGGGAATCAGTGTATTACTCTTTACCATTAAGCAAATTATAGAATCTGATTTATGAAATGGCTCAATCCTTGGGACAAAATGACCAGCTAATAGTAAGGAGACCTGGGTTCAATTTCCCATTTCTAATGCCATTATTGTTTACTGAGTAGCCTGGAGCAAACCATTTAACATTGATATACTACTTGTCTGTAAGATATCCCAATCTATATTAGTCACTGAGGGAGTTAAAGGGGAGTAAAAGGGAGAAAAAGGACCACAGAGGATGAGGGACAACATTTTATAATTACCTAGAGGATGTGTGGATATTGAAAGAAGCTTTGTCCACTGAACATCCAGTTCAAAGTAGAGGGATGAAAAAAGGTATAGAATTTAGATCATTAGGATGGCAGGAGTCTACATATGGCTTAGTATTTCCAAAAGGGATTTAAAATAGGATGTTTTCACCTTAGACAAGGCTGTCAGGAAGATTTTGGGTTGGGAGTTTCCTTGATTATTTTGCACATTTTCTAACATCTGAATGCATGAATGAAAAACATTTATCAAATATTTACAATTTGTTGAACACCGTGCCAAGTGAGGTAAATACAAAAACAGAAGCAAAATAGTTCCCTGCCCTCAAAAAAACTTTTATTCTATTTAAAGGAAACAGCATATATTGGGGAAGGGTGTTTTGGTCCATGGGGTCATAAGAATGTTGAGTGGATCCATTGGGAAATTGATAGACCTGATCTTTCCAGAAGCAATGGTTAGTTAGATCAAAAGAGAATAAATTTACAAAGTACTTAACACAGTGCCTGGCACACAGTAGGGTTATAAATATTAACACGTATTAGTAGTATTAATTTGAATATGGTTTTTAGAACAAACAGTGGAAAGGGGAGGTGTGTGTGGCAAGGGCAGAATATACAGAAGCATTCTAGGTGTCAAGAAGACATCTGACAAGTTCAGCTTTATGGGATATGAAGTATGATCTGGTCTAGAAGTATTTGGATACAGGGGGATCAGTCAGTTTGTCCTCACTCAATCACCAGATAGTACACGTAGGCCCCAGGATGAGAGTTCCAAAGCCAACAGAGTAAGTCACCCAGCTCATGATGCTGAAGGCAAGGTGGCTGGAGGGTATAGCAGTAAGGAAGAGGGCAAGAATGTGGCTGGCTAGAGTAGTTGGGTTCTGATTTGTAATAGTGGGGGTTTTTTCTCCCCTTTCTGTTCCTAATTTGATCTCTTCCCATTTTTACATCAGCATTTTTATTTAGGTAAAATCTGATACCCTGGCTTCTGGTCTTCTGGCTTCTCCCTTCATTCATCAGGATCTTACCTGACACCATTATTTTCCATGGGTACAGTTCCCATTAGGGAAAAGATAATGATGGATAATGCAAACCTAAATGAACATTGTCCCTAAAATCTAGGTTCCCAGAGGGTCCTCAGTCTAGTCACCAGAAAATTTGGCCCTAAGCTAATGTGGTTTATTGCTCAAAAAGAAAAATATGTCTTGTGTAGTTCCAATCTTGGGTCTAAATATGTTGTCAGTGATGTGATGGTATTTGAGAGGCAGTATGGTGAAGTGGGAAGAACACTGGATTTGGAGTCAGGAAACCCGGGTTCAAAGTCCCGCTCTGCTGTCTGTATGACTTGGAAAAACCATTTCATCATTTGGGGCCTCAGTTTTTTCATCTGTAAAACGAAGATGTTGGACTAGATGAACCATAAGGTGCCATCTAGCATTATATCCTATAGTTCTAGAAATGTATAGATATTTTCTTCCTTTATCACAAGATAGCCTAAGATTTGAGCCCCTTAACACCAGGCATCTCAAACTAGAGCCTGTTACATTTGGGGCAGCTAAGTGGCCTAGAATCAGGAGGACCTGAGTTCAAATCCAGCCTCAGACACTTAATAGCTTTTATCTTGAGCAAGTGACTTCACCTTGTTCACTTCGATTTTCTCTTCTGTAAAAATAAGCTGAAGGAGGAAATGGCAAACCATTCCAGTATCTTTGCCAAGAACACCCCAAATAAGGTCAGAAATAGTCAGACATGATGGAAACAACTGGACAACAACAAACAATACACTTGGCAACCTACAATACAATGCCCAAGTGTTTTGTGATGGAAAGAACACTAGAGCTTAAGTTAGGAAAGGACTGGGTTCAAATGCCATCTCTGACACTGGCTCTGTGACCATGGGCATATCTTTTATGACTGAGCCTCAGTTTCTTCATTTATAAAATGGAGATAAGAATACCTGTCATACTAATCTCAGTTGGACAATGTTTATAAAATAGTTTAAAAACCTCAAAGCACCACGAGTTATTATTATTCAGCCTGCTGTCTCTTGGTTCAGACTAATATATAATTAACAGTAATGGAGTCACAAGTCTTTGTGAAAAGAAACAGAGAATGAGCTAGTAGGTGTACAAATTAGCATTGTGTAAGAAATGATACAAACGGCAAATCGGGTTGGGTGACTATTGTTTTACCCCTTGTCTTTTTGACAGCTGGAAGGAAAGAATTCTGAGAGAAATCCAGGAGAAGTGTCTCCGTCCTTTGATTCAAAGGGAGCTTTCCGGAGGGAGAGAGAGGAGCTCAAGAAGCTACTTGCAGAGAGTCATAGCTTGGTGATGGAGCTACGCTGGCAAGTCCATCACAATGAGAAAAACTGGAAAAGGGAAAAAGTGGAACTTCTTGACCGATTAGACAAAGAGCGTGAGGACTGGGAGCAGCAGAAGAAGGACATGCTGCGGAGAATGCAACAGGTAAGGAAAGAGCCACATGGGGATGTAACAAATGCATGAATGTAAGGAAATAAATTCACACAGAGGTCAAAGAAAGAAAATAAAAGAACCTAACCACATGGATGAGTTGTGGTTTGGTATCGTAGCCAGAGAATAGACTTGGCTTCAAGAAGACCTGTGTTTAAGCCCATCTTTGAACACATAGGAGGTACTTGCCCTGAGTCAGTCACTCAATATTTCAATGCCCCAGGTAATTCTCTAAGACTACAAGTTGAAGATATCCACGGGGATGGAATTTCCACGTGTGGAGTTACCTACAATCTTGAAGTCCCAAATCTGGGCCGAAAATAAAACTAAACCAAAGTCCTTTTGTGATTTTTGTCCACCTCAGAATGGTTTATGAAAGGCAGTGTGGGGCAGTGGTTTGAATCCCAACTAAGGTACCATGTGACCTTGGGCAAATTCTCTCTTTTTTTAGGGCAAATGGAACTGTTATTTCACTGCTATTTTGGTGTTGTTGTTGAGGTGTTTTCAGTTCTATCCGACTGTTTGTGACTGGGGTTTTCTTTACAAATGAGGAAACTGAGGTAAAGAGGATTAAGTGACTTGTCCAGGCTTAGGCCAACATAGCTAGTAAATTTCTAGGCCAGATTTGAACTCAAGAATATGATTTGTCTGGTGCTGTATCCACTGTGTCATCTAGATGCCATAATTAGCTTTTAGAAAGGGACATTTACTGTGGTAATATAATAAGAACAGTGAGTATAAAACATTCCCCCCAAAATGATACTTTCTCCCACAAGAACAAAAATAATGCAAGGGAAAGTGGGTTCAAGATTATGTTACATATGGCAAAGGAGATAACTGATAGCTCCTAGAAGTCCTTTTGCTTTGGTGCTCAAAATATTCCCCTTAGGTATGGTGCATCTTGTCTCCTGGACGCCTTGAAGAGTCTTGCATCTTTGTTTCTTCAATGTGTCTAGGTGATCCACTGTGCAATGCAGACAGTGCTTCCTGCTGATGCTATATCAGGGACACTTCTAGGATGCCAAAAACAGCCCTCTGAAATTCACCAGGTCCTCCTTAACCCAAATTATGGGGGAGGAAGAAAAAGATTAAGAGAGAAACTGAGGCTCTCCTCACCCCATTTTATTCATTCTCAGCAACCACTTCTGCCACTAAGCCACCAGAAGCTCAAATCCTTGATTCCAAACTAGCTCACTTGTTTTATGCAAGCCCCACAGTGTAATCAAGTCCCTCCTTCAAACAGACTTCTATCATACTTGATTAAAATGCCTCTGAATGATTGATTAATTCACCAGAAGTATCCAGGCCTCTTTCATACCTAGTTTACACTTCTGATTCTATTGAAAAATCATCTCTATCCTTCACATCTCTCCTTTCTCTTCAGCCACACCAAAGGTAGAAAGAAAGAAAAAAGGAAGGGAGAGGGAGAGACAGACAGACAGACAGACAGATAGAGAGACAAAGAGACAGAGAAAGAGAAATTTAAACTCTAAATGTGGGCAGGCTAACTTTTAAGTGCACTGCTAATAATTTAGTCCCAGTGACTTTCTTCTGCCTGAATTCAGATGTAGCCTAATAATAAAGGAAATGCTGAATAAAGCTGGAAGTCAAGCTGTTCCATGATGACCACAGCATGCTGGGCATACCCCTGAGAAGTGATCAAATATGACCACAGTTAGAAAAGACAACAGCCCAAAGCCAATCTTTATCTGGACCAAAAAAATACAGGGGAAAAAACTCTTAATTGGAGATTAGGTTTTCACTAATATGTGGCTGTCTTGTGCATTTCCAGTCATCAGTGTCTGCACTGCAGCTAATCTCTTGATTTGGGGTGACAGCAGTCATTCTTGAATGATGCACAAATTAAACTAATGCAGCCTTGGCTTTCATCCCTGGTTAGTTTTGCAAAGTCTGCTTTTTATTTGCGTCTGTGTTTCACATTTAGAAATGCTTGAGATCTTAAGAAATGTTGTTAATCTTGGAAAATGTGAGTCCAGAGAAATGTCAATTATCCTTGTTGCTTTCCTTTAGGTCATTATTTTCAGGGAAAAAAAATAATAACTAGCATTCATATATAGTACTTTAAGGTTTGCAAATTTCTTTACATATATTATTCCATTTCATCCTTACAGCAATCCTATAAGGAAGATTCTATTATTATGCTCATTTTTCAGATGAGAAGACTGAGACTAAGAAAGGCTTAATGATTTGCCTAGGGTGACAGACCTAGTAAGTGCCTGAGGCTAAAACTCAGGCCTTTCTGTCTTCAGATCCAACATAATTCACTATGCTACCTGGCATGCCCTATGTGTTATGTGAGCAATTACCCTTTTTGTGATGAATGTTTCTTACTTGAGCCTGAAGGTATTTTGGTCATTTTTATATCAAATTATAACATTGAAAGAAATATATCAGATGCTAGAAAAGATTGGCAGTTTTTGATTTAGGCTGTTTGGGACCCTAGTAAAACTCAAGGACAGCACAGTTTGAGAGGAATGTTTGAAACTAGTCATCACTCCTTTCTCCATCCTTCATGGATTTTGTTATCTACCTCCCGGATGTTTGATGTGGCTACCATCCCAAATTCCCCAATTCCTCATCAAAAGGGATACGAGTCATTTCCTGTTTTACTTGGAAGCCAACAGTAGGAGAGTCTTTAAGTTAACACCTCTGGGTACTCTTAGGTCTAGGTGGGTCAATGATTAGTGTTGAAGGTTTAAAACCTTTTAAAAGTGAAAAGCAGCCTTTATTCCCAGGAAGTTATTTGTTCTTTCACCTGATCTTACATTTTATTCTTTCCCTTTCCAACTCCTTTACTTTCCTGAAGAAGTCCTGTTTGATTAAGTAACTCCTAATCTTTCAAACTTTGGAATCAAATATTTATCAATGTACAACTTCAGTTATCTTAAGTTAGCTATAACCTGAAGAGGTCAACTAGTTACTGAATAGAAGGCTGTCTATCCAGGGCCAATCCCTGTGATGATAATTTTTCTCGTACCTGAAAATAACCTACGTGGTTGTCGTGATTAATGCCAGGTCCATTTTACATCATTGGTGGCTATTCCATAGCAACCATAATGATTTATTGGCTCAACCACTGCACTCATTTTACAAGTCACCTTTCAGATTTGTAGAGAAAATTTTCTGTAATTTAAAAAATACATATTTTATTGATATCTTTTGTTTTTACATCACCAGAATTTCTCCCAGTATCACATGTCCCCTCTCCAAGACAGTCATCCCATATAACAATATTTTTAAAGGAAAAAAGGAAAAGAGAAAAAAATCAGCAAAAGTGATCAATACATTGAAAGAGTTGGGAAATGTAGACAATGTATCACATTCATGAACCTCCAACATCATTTTGAAGCATGTAAGAGTGTTTACTTTTCCTAATAAAAAGACCAGCAAGACATATGTAAAGATTTATAGTCTCCAGGAGAGTCTATGAAAGAAGCAAATGTTCAGTTTACCTGGTTGACTAAATACACTCAAATGGAAATCTCCTTTCCAAATTGGCATCTATTCAAGCAGTGACCTCAGAACTTCACCCTTTATAGTAATACATCCTTGAGTATAAATGGATTCTTAACCTGCATATGAAATTAAATCTGGGGTCATGGACCTTAATTCAGTTAGTGCAGTGCTATTCTCAGATATATATTTGTTTCTAATGAGCTTGCACTTTGTACAAAAATAAATCTGTCCTTTCTCCTCAAGAATTTAGCATTTGAAAGCAGGATTTAAAAAAAAATCATGGTAACTAGCCTTGCAAATTAAGACAGCAAAGGGACATTCCATGTATAACAGGAAGCTGGCAAAGGTTATTCCATTAGCCAGTTTGTTGCTCACTCATTAAACTGTTAGTCACACATTCCTAAGAGAAGCAAGAAGCATATCAACGACTCTTCATGGAACGTTTAACAATGTGTGGCCCGGGTACACAACTGCTTTGTAAGCCTCCTAACCTTGAATATGATAACCTCATGCAAATGGTCAAGAGTCTCTCTAAATCCATTTTCCACATTGGAAGCATATGTTTCTTGCTTATCAGGTGTCATAAAATTCCAACATAATTTCTCCACCGTGTAAGACACTTTATATGATGAATGTCTATGGTGACATAGCTAAAACCTGATTGTGAATGTTAGCTCTTGCATGCCTTCCTCTCATATTTCAAGACAGATTTTTTAAATGGATTTATACTATATCTTCCTTTAGAGTTAGTAGGTTTTTAGTTCATATGCAGGTAATATAGGACTTGTTATTTTCAGTTGTGGTATAGTGAACAGGATGTTGAACTTAGAGTCAAAAAGACCTGGGTTCAAATTGGACACTTACTAGCTTATGACCGTGGGGAAATAATTTAATCTCTCAGGGCTCAGTTTCCTCTTATATAAAGTGAAGGGTTAGATAAAGTGAGCTTTAAGGTAACTTCAAGCTCTAAATCTATGATCCTAAGATCCTCATCTAACCCTTTGAACACCTGATTCTCCCTTTCATGATACACTTAAATTAGCTGTCTGCACAAGATGAAGATCAGTCTTTGAAAATCTCTTCATAATGTGTAAAGTGTTTCTGAGGGCTAGCCTCAGACTTAGGAAGATCCAAGTTCAAAACCTATCTCTGACATACACTGGCTACATGGCCTTGGGCCAAGCTCTTCATGTCTTAATGTCCTATGCAAATCTTAATGACTGTAAGTTGCATGGCACATTTTGATCTGAGTTGGTAGAAGAAATTTCATTATCTGGAATTCCCTGTGTATTACAGGTCTACTCCCATTCCAAAGAGTTTCCATGATGCATATACTTCATTGGTGCTATTGAAAGGCAAATCTTTGTTTTCCCATCTCACCCACACTAAAAGTAGTCCTATTGGCTAGTGGGGTGTAGAACAGTGGTTCTCAAACTTGGTCACAGAACTCCTTTATATTCTTAAAAATTATTGAGAACCCCCAAAAGCTTTTGTTTATGTGAATTATATCCAGCAGC